TTGAAAAAAAACCCCAGCCGTATCTAAAGGGACCCCCCCCACCCCACCCCAGAAACAAGCAGGGTGGGAAGCAGGGAGCAAGGAGGGAAGCGAGGAGGGGGGGGACGCAGGGAGCACTCGTACCCCAGTTATACACACGTGGAGGGGTCCCCACGGGCACAGAGCCATTTTGGGGTGCTGGCAAGAGACTCACCAGCACGGAGAGGAGCTGAAAATCACGATCCACGTGGGATCGGCCAGAAACAAGCAGGGTGGGAAGCAGGGAGCAAGGAGGGAAGCGAGGAGGGGGGGGACGCAGGGAGCACTCGTACCCCAGTTATACACACGTGGAGGGGTCCCCACGGGCACAGAGCCATTTTGGGGTGCTGGCAAGAGACTCACCAGCACGGAGAGGAGCTGAAAATCACGATCCACGTGGGATCGGCCACGTCCGAGGAGCCAGCAGCGAAAATAGCCATAAATCCTCCTCTCCCGGCACGCAGGAGGAAGGGGGGTAGATAACGGGGGGGTCGCAGAGCATACCTGGCCCCGATCCACCGGCCAGAAGCCCCCCCAATACCCCCCCCAGCCCTGCCCGCTCACCGCTCGCAGCAGCAGAAGACGGAGCAGGATGAGGCGCTGTCGCGACGGTACTTGCCCGATTTGGGGCTGTCCTTGCACTGGGCGATGTAGGCGTGGAGCTGGGAGACGGGCGCTTCGCCCTCGCACTGGTGCTGCGGGGAAAGGGGTCGGGGAGGCTGAATCCCTCCGGCGAGGGGGAACGGGATTCCCCCCCCGCTCCCCAAAAAAATCAAGCCGTGAAGCTTTGCTTAAACACCAGAGTCTGGCCTCACCTTGATGGTCTCGTAGGAGCCGGTGATGAGGGCGATGAAGAGGCTGAGGACCATGTAGATGAAGAGGCTGATGAAGGTGTACAGGTAGATCTGGCTGAAGAGCCACACCAAATAGCTGTTCTGTTGCATCTCAGCAAAGGTAACGAACATGTCGTCCCCGTTGATGAGGGAGAAGAGGCACTCGGACACCATGGAAAGGGATCGGAACTGAGATGGGAGGTGACAAAGGGCAGTCAGGCCAGGCCACCGCGTTACCCCTTCCACCACCGGGCTGGAAGCTCTCGAACAAGGAGCGAGCGCTCCCCGACACCCTACGTGCCACCCCGATGCCGTTGGGCCACGAGGAGAGAGGCTGCGGCAAAGAGCGGCACCGTATCTAACCCACGCTGCCAAAACGGGGACCGGCCACGCACCCATCTCCTCCCAAATCCGGGCAGGGAATCACCCGGAGGTGGGTGAAGCCCACCCCAACCACCGACCCAGAGCTGCACCTTGACGTGGTACGGGCCCAGCACGATCCACCCGCAGAAGCAGTAGCCCAGATAGATGACGGCTACGCAGCAGCAGAAGCGGATGACGTTGGGGAGGGCCACCCGTAGCGTGACGATGAGGATCTGGTGGAGGAAAACCAGTCGGGATTAACCCCCGTCTTCCACCGAGGGTGCCGGTGGGAGGGGACCCAACAGCGGTTAAAGCACCCCGTGTGATCCCGAGGTCCCCAGCAGAGAGGGATGGGGACCCTGGGGACACGCAGCAGCTGTAGGACGAGCCCAAGCCTGCCCAGGGGTTCAGGGTCAGGCTGGCACGGCCGTCCCCAGCCCTGGAAATTGTCCCCTTGGCTCCCAGGTCACCTCCCCGGTGTCACTCACGTTGTACTTCTGGAAGAAGGTGAGGTAGCGAATGACCCCGACCCAGACTAGCAGCGTGGAGGTGCCCAGGAGGATGCTGCAGACGTCGTAGCTGGCAAAGTTCTGCGGGGACAGAGGTGTCACGGGCCTGAGGCATGGCCAACGCCGTCCCCACATCCCCAACACCGTCCCTGAAGCCCTAACAACCCTCTGCACTGGCCACAAGCTAGCGGCGAGTGAAATCCTGGTGCCACAAGCCACGACACAGCAGCCTGCCTGTCCCTTTGTTGCCACCTCCCTGTCCCAAAGGGAAAAAGGGGGCTCTGGGGTCCCACTTGGGCCAGGACCCCTCTGTGAACCCCTAAACCGCTGACAGGGCTCTGATTACACCCAGGACAGCTTCACCGGGGCAGACAACGTGCTGCCAACACCCAGGTGAGGCTGTTTCATGGCCAAGCGGGAAGGTTTACCCCTGCCACACAGAAATGTCCCCTCCCCAGAGCATGGGGACAACCTGTGCCAGCAGCTCCGGAGCACCCAGGATCTGCAAAACCTCCCGCTTCGCTCCCCGGTGTCCTCGTACCTTGGACTCGATGCCGATCTTCATGATGGTTCCCAGCACGGTGAGGACATCGCTGATCACCAGGAGGATGTACCAGCCGTTGAGGAACTACATGAGGTCTGACAAGCACACGTTCTGGTTGTATAGGAGTCTTCGGGGCGGGGGTGGGGAGGAAAAAAAAAAAAAATGGGGTCCTCTACCCACCGCCCGGAGAGTTTTTGCCCGTCTCGCAGCACCCACAGCTTTGACTGAGCACCCTCCGTGGGGAAAGGGCCTCCTCTGAAAGCCGGCAGTGCCGAAACAGCGTCCCGGTGGCAGCTCTGTCCGTCCCCACCGGTTACACGGTGGAGGGTAGCTACGGTTAGCGCCGCTTCCCGCCGTCCCACCACTCACGTGCTGCAGCATCAGGCCCCGGATGATGGAGCGAGCGCAGAGGATGAAGGAAAGCGAGCAGACGAGGATGACGACGACATCGAAGAACAGCCGGAAGGAGTTGTCACCTGCAAGACGCGCGGTGACTCTTCTTAACGAGGGGGACAGCCACCCAGGAGCCCCCCGAGCCCCCCACGAAGCCTTTTGGCACCCACTGGGGACAGATGCCACCTTTGTCACGCCCTCGTGGCTCCTACCTCGGCCGAAGACACTGGGATCTTTGCACTCCTTGATGTCAGCCCGGTTGTCGAGGCGGATTTTCACCTGGCCGCTGTGCGCCTTGTTGTCGAACGTGATCTGGGGAGAAGGGGGGGGGGTACCGTCCG